CCACAACTGTGCAGTGAGCTCCCTGGTGAAACAGGGTGGCAGACAGTGAAACAGTGCAGTAGAATGGTAAGTGGAGATGATCTGCCCAGTTGGCCTTGGTAGAGGTTTTGTCCTTTGACACAATATTGCACATGCAAATGAATGATGCAGCCTGCACAAAAGCGAAGCTTCCCTTTCAGACCTTACTTTCCAGGAGCATGTAGAAACACGTATTTCTGCCTCTATATGTGTTGGCATTGCAGACATTCTGGCTTATCTCTTTTATCTCAATCCAGCGGGGACTTGCAGAGCAGTACTCCTCCCAGATCCCTGAGGGGCCTAATCCATTTAGCTGTGCTCAGAGCATGATAGCGCGTATTTGAAAGATTGGGCTACAAACACATAGCAGCCATGGAAACATTCTCTAAAAAAACAAAGGTAACAGTGGTAGTCCGATGAAACCTAGCGGGCATGTGATTTTTCAACAGGCTGTAGGTTGACCAAATACATTTACAAAGAAATGTAAAAAGGGTGCAGTAGTTAGTTTACCACTTTGTCAGAATTCAGTGTTGTGCTCTCCTGCAGCTAGAGCTTCTTTTTGGGTAAAATTATCTTTCAGCATAAGCAAAACAGCACTTTTTCTCCAGCCAAGTTTACACAAATGGTTAGCAAAACCATTTGGCTGATATTCTTCAAGTAACTCAGCCTGAGGCTGACAGCCAGCACAGAAAATTTCATCCCAAAATATTAAAATTTGAGGTAGCTTTAAAAGCAGAAAAAATACATCTGATAATGGTGAACACCTGCCAGCCTTTATAACAGGCAGTACTACCAGTTCAGCACACGTATCTTTAAATCTGAGTAGGTACAAATCTGAGTATGTACGTCCCGAGATATATATGGGTCCTTATATAGATGATTCAGTGATTGGTTTTGCACAGTATTAATATAGGCTTACATATTATAATGCAGTTTTTGCTTTCACTTTGATTAATCTGGGATAAAAACCACTGCTATTATGTATGAGCACTTTCCACCTGCAAAACTAGTGAAAAATTGAGAATCATCTGAAACCAGGTTTTTGATGTACTAAGATGAGAACATATGTATAAATGTGGAATTGAAGAAAGCTTAATGCAAAGTTTCTCTTTTCCACAATTAGTACTCATTTTATTTATTCATGAATGCTGTTAATAAAATATGTAGCAAGGGAGAAGAAGATTCCATTAACGAGCTTCTACTGTAATTAAAAGATGAATTACCAACAACCACTGATTTATTTTTCTCATTTGTAAGAGGATATCTTTACGTAACTGTGTCCCTGATGAATGCCTGAATTGAGCCGACTGATGGCCAAGTGGTACCTTCTGGAAGGTGTGCTGGTGGGCACAGCCCCCAGAGTGCTATGCCCAAGAGTACTACTAGTCATGTTCACACTCTGCCTCCAGAGCTTCCCCAAGCTGTTGCCTCTGTCTTCTAGTTTTAGAGTACTGCATATGTTGTTCCCATGCTATTGAGCCTATTGTGAAGAGGGGAGACAAGTTCTTTACATCAACTTAGACTGAATTTAATACCAAACTTAAGACCAACTCTGCCTCTAGCAAATAAAATAGAAAGCAATCACCAGTGAGCATTATCAGTTGTTACCCAGGAGAATCCAGGCAATGCAGAAGGGAAGAAAAGTAAAGAGTTTTAGTTCTGTCCTCTAATAGAAGGAATAAAAGACTAATACCTGCAAAGCCTTGATAGCGAAGTTGAGAACTGTTTCCAGCAGTCACGGATCCATACCAATTCAGCCCGTCTTCTTTGCTCAAAACTGTCCAACCTTACTTATGTCTTCTGCACAACTTTTCCTCAGTCCTCAAGAAGAATTTTTCACCTCCACTTTAGGTCCCCTAATGAGCACATTGTCTTGATGGACACACTGATACTATTGAAGAAAAAAGTGACTATCCTTCCTCCAGCACTGCAACTTTTCCTTGAAAAGCCACAAACTTACTTATAACTTCAGTTCTAATGCTGTTTTGTTTTGGTTTTAATCTTTTACAGTCTTTGCTAAGCATACGTGGTTCCCTGTTTTCTCCAAGGCGCAACAGCAAAACAAGCATTTTCAGTTTCAGAGGTCATGCAAAAGATGTAGGATCAGAAAATGACTTTGCTGATGATGAGCACAGCACTCTTGAAGACAATGAGAGCAGAAGAGATTCGCTCTTTGTTCCAAATCGACACGGAGAACGGCGCAACAGTAACATTAGTCAAGCCAGTGTGTCATCTAGAATGGTACCAGCCCTTCCAGTAAACGGGAAGATGCACAGCAGTGTGGATTGCAATGGAGTAGTTTCTTTGGTTGGAGGACCTTCACCTTTAACTTCACCGGCTGGTCAGCTTGTACCAGAGGTAATTAGAAGTAAATCAGTAATTATTACAGTTTTGTTCAGGCATGTTTTTTTCTCTTACTGCTTGCCTCTGCATGCTTTATCATTTGTACAGCTGTGAGAAGTAACTTGCAATAGTTTCTGAACAACAGAATGTAGAGGAAAAAAGTCCTCAACCTGCTGTATGAGCTTCAGTAAAGTATTATGTTCTCCCTGTCTTCAGCAAGAGATCTGCACATAGAGAGAAAAAAACCCCATAAATTGAGTTTGACAATTTCTATATAGTTTCACCTCACCAACAAAGGTAGACATTTGATATATAGCTAAGGATATAACATGGGAGTATGCATTGGAAAACATCTGCAAAATTAAGAAGAATGCAGTTACTATTCCCATGACAATTCATAGAAATACCCCTTACTGAATTTATTTTGAAGAAATTTTTCTCATAACTTTCATAAGAAAAATACATATAATTTCTATGTATCTTTGCAATTACTTTACATTTCAGTCCCAGTTTCAGACTGCTGTAAGCTAAGATGTTCTTTCAAACTTTCAAAAAAGCAAACTTTTTCATTGATAGTACTTTAGTACGGATTCACTATGGCATTTTTGTAGCTATAATACCACTGAAAAATATTTTCATCATAAATAAGTATTGAGATTTCACTACTTCTGTTACACATTTCTTTTTACTTTTTTGTTTCTCTGCTATCTTGATATAGACTTTCATACCAGAAATTCAGTCGGATTACCACAGACGTTATGTGCATATACTTCTATTTCAGAAATACTTTCACTTGAAATTAGTTATTTAACTCAAGAGTCTTCAGTAAAGAAATAGTACTAGTGAATGCTTGATTTAAGAACTTTTTAATCCCACTCCTGTGTTTAGACCTCTAGGCCACACTCCAGAAGAAAAGCAACTCAAAGACATCTACTTGCCACACATTAGACACATCGAAATCAGAATCAGGCATTATTGCTTTGAAAAGATAATTAGAAGCCATAAAAAACAGAAAGGACTTGCAGATCTATTGCAAGAACATATCAAAAATTCTGTATGAACATTGCAGTGGGTGAGAATTAGGTAGAAGAATTATTAAATGTGATTTTTATTTTTTTTTCCTAAAAAAAATTCCAAGCACACTTATCAGGTTAGGAAAGCTGTGCATAGTATTAAAGAGATAATGAATTCCTAGAATTATATTCATTTTTCTTGTAGGAAAATTACTTTCTTAAATAATGGTTAACTTCTTTCTGTGCTTGCACTTTCATTATTTAATATGTCTAGCTGTTGGAAATTAAGGTGACAGGTTCCAATTTTGATCATTTTTTCTTAAATGAATAATCTTCATTAGCAAAAAGATACCTAGCAAAATTTTTATTCATGCAACCTGGTCTGGTGGCAGATGTCCCTGCCCACGGCAGGAGTGTTGGAACTAGATGATCTTTAAGATCACTCCCAACACAAACCATTCTACGATTCCATGATTTAAATAAGAATCACCTTTGGTCTGACATTGCCTTGGTATGTTGTCCCCCATTTGATTATTTATTTGCAGAACTGTACAAAATTTCCACTGAGTTCCTCAATAAAGAACAAAGTAATTCCTACATGAACAGAAAACTGCAGTATGTAAGAAAAGTATAGTGTGCTGCACAAACTTGATTTTGATTATCACTACAATACTTTTACAGTAAATATTGTTAATTTTTGTTGAAAAGGATGGTTTAATTTCTCAGTATTTCATTTACAGGGCACCACTACAGAAACAGAGATAAGAAAAAGAAGACTGAGTTCTTATCAAATTTCCATGGAAATGCTAGAAGATTCTGCTGCAAGACAAAGAGCAATGAGTATAGCCAGCATACTTACAAATACAATGGAAGGTATTTGATGCATTTTATCTGACAGGCAATTCAGTGAATTTCAGCTAAATATAGGTACAGAGCAATTATTTAAATAATTTCCTTTGTAAATGTAAAACTGGACAAGTGAAATTACTGTACATCAGATATAGAAGGCTTTTGAGCATTTCTAAGACCATTTACACATTCTAAATGCTTAGTCATTTATTTTTTTGTGGAATCTTCCAAATTATTACTCTATTGAGTGGACTAACAGACCCAAAATAATTATAGCTAAGGGACTGCCAGATCCCCAAACAAAAAATACAGGGATTTTCTTCCTATATCAACAGGAAAAATCAATCAAGATACACAGAAATTGCTATGATAAAGGCAATGATGTTCTAGGACAGCCATTTTCCTTAGATTTAATATCTAAGCATAGACAATAGGAAACTGGAATGAAAAAGATAGTTTCAAAGAAAATAAACAACTATAATCAGCTCATGGCAATGCACATGAACTGCCTTCCTCAAGCATTGCTTAAACTTTCACACGTAAGTATATCAAATATAAAAAAAACCATTTTCTATACAAAAAAGCATGCATTGTAAGAACTGTTTTGCTTACATAATGGAAACTGAGTACACTCACATTGCAAACATATGCCATTAAAGTACTTTTATAAACTTAAAGGATCTATCTACTGGATACTGGCACAGTGTGACAGCTGCTGCGGTCACACAAACCCTGAGGATGTCCTACAACACATATTCTAAAAGGACAAGAAATTGCCAATAAAATTTACAGTGTTATTAAGATTAATTTAAGCCATCAATGAAATATACCTTTGAAAGTGAGTTCTGAAGCCCTTTGCTCTCAGATAAAGAAAGAGATACCAAACCAATTGTAGTCAGAAATATAAGGTTTATATCGCCTATTTTCTCCTAAAAGTATTCACAAACCATTCTCACAAACATGTGCCTTTCTGAGTGTATCTTCTTACTTTAGTGCAAGCAGGAACTGTTGGTACCTCTTGATTCTTGGTGCGCAATTCTTAGCTCTCTTCTCAGGTAGAAAGGATATCTCCTTAGAGGGTGCTACTCTTTTCTTCCAGGTGAATACTTTGTCCTCCCATTCTTCTGGACAGAAAAAAAAACATGTCAATATTATAAAAGACTTTCTCTACTGACGATACCCTTTTCTGCCTGGAGGCTACAGTCAGATGTAAGGGGAGATCTTGCCAGTTTTGATGAATTCGAGAGCTGTGGCAACTGACCTTTTAACTTCCTGTAATTCCACCCAGACGGGACAATATTAGACGCAAAAATCAATCCACTGGTCGTCAAAGTGCAGAACTTAGCCCTACATCCTTATTAGCAAATACTCTATTTCAGCATGTTTTCAAGGCCAGGTTGGACAGGGCCTTGGGTGACATGGTCTAGTGTGAGGTGTCCTTGCCCATGGCAGTGGGGTTGGAACTAGATGATCTTAAGGTCCTTTTTAACCCAAACCATTCTATGATTCTACGATTCCATGTTTGCTATTTTAGCAAAATCATCTAGAAGCGTCATGATGATGGAGATTTCCCTGTGCTCTAAGCAATGTCTGAAAACTGACAAATTTCAGATTTGGGTTGATGCCACTATGCAGAAATTTTATCAAAACAGTTGTGTCTGCTTTTTATGTATTTTATAGTTTTAAGTATTTCTCACTTAAGCAAATACCAGTCTTCTTTCTGGGCTGCTCTCAAACATCCCATCACATTAGAGATCCATCCTTTCTATTATTAACTTACTAGAAGGTACTGTTCCTCTGTAACCTTGACAATATTGACAGTGAAATGGAAGAAAACACAGTTTGTAAAGATTCTAATTGAGGGCAAAGTTGTTCTGCTAATTCTAACATTGTTCTGTTTCTCAACTGATAGACACCACATCTGCACAAGTCAAGTGATAATTTTTAAAATAAGAAAACAGGCATTCTGTATATTAAAAGTATTGACTCAGATAATCAATGATAGGTAAGCACACCAAATTATTTACCTGTTATGATACTGTAGTGGATTAGTGTAGTAGCAAATATAATGCTTTTAGTAGCTCAAATCAAAATATGTATGCATATACTCAACACAAAAAAATTATATTTTATGAAGCTTATACAATTTATGTACATCAGCTGACAATGGAGTCATGTTAACTTTTAATATCCAAAAGACATCTGCTGTAAGCAAGTCAACTAACCTAAACTAAATGTCTTGACTCTCCCTACTTTCATGAGAAAGAGATAAACACATTTCTCTCTTTACATAGATGTGTGAGGTGATTCATTCTTTAGCGATAATTTCACTGTCTACTGATTGTAGAGAAGCTTAAATAAATTAGATGCTTAACTTTAAGATGGCTAAACATAGATGAAGGAAACCGCACATTAATGTGAGCTGTTTATTTGAATGATTTAATCTTTTTACATATTTTAAACAAGAACTTTCAGAGGATGTAATTTGGATATTCATTGTTTGTTAATATTGGGGTTTTTTTTTATTTTCTTTTTCAGAGCTTGAAGAATCCAGACAGAAGTGCCCACCATGCTGGTACAGATTTGCAAACACTTTCTTGATCTGGGATTGCTGGAGTCCCTGGTTAAAAGTAAAACATGTCGTCAATTTAGTTGTGATGGATCCATTTGTTGATCTTGCTATAACTATTTGCATTGTTTTAAACACGTTGTTTATGGCCATGGAACATTATCCAATGACAGAACAGTTCAGCAGTGTCCTTTCTGTGGGGAACCTGGTAAGTGGTTTGTTATGCACTACTTGGTGTAAAAATAACCTTTTCTTAAAGAAAAAATGCACAAATGCATTGCATTGGTTTTAAGTTTATTCCAGGTTGGTTTTTATAATCAGTTTAGAAACTGTATATATGATTTTCATTTTTGCTAAAGCCTTTAAATTTCATTAATCTATTTTCTAACTACTATAATGGTATAACTGAACCTGTCTAGAAGTGCAGTCTTCACTGGATTGTCAGATTTCTTGATGGTCTACCCTGGGCTTTTTTTAAAAATGTTATGGTATATTATCTAATTTTTACCAAAGTATTTATATTTCTTCACATAAAATATTTTTCTTCTGTGAGAATTTGATGAAATATTCAGATGTCAGAATTTCCCTTTGATTTATTTTCAGTTACACTACTTTTCCAAGAAAGGAAAGTACATTTCTTGTTACCAGTAGTCCTTGCTTTTTTAGGTAACTAAAAAGCACTTAATAAACTGGAAGATTATTATTTATTCTCTAACAAAAAACACCTTGTATCTGTAAGTTTATTAGTTATGCCCTTCCTGATTTTAAGCTGATCCAGAGATTTAAGGTTACATGTAATTCCTTTTCTGAGCAGATACCTAAATGTGGCATTACACTCAAATAACATTGTCTGTTTCTCTCCATTTGCTTCTAATGTTCAGGAAGCAGAAGACAGAACCTTGCAACTGTTTCAGAAGACTCATACATTTTTAATCTTTTGCCACCACACATAAGTACCAATAGTTTACGCAGGAGAGGTCTGGACGAACTGACACAGCATGCAGTCCTGAAAATCAAAACCAATCAAGTGTTCTGAACTAATCACTCAAAAATATCAGTTTTTTTAAATCTGCTAATGTTTAAATGGAGCAATAGATTTCTCGGTCAGAGTATGCTTTCCTTATATCCTTCTGACTTTTTTAAAAAATAGAACTAAAACTGCACTTACGACCTACGTGTTCTTGTGTGCATTATGGTTTTCTTTCTCTTGCACAAAGATCTAATTACTGGGATATTCTTATACTCATCACAGTTTACAGAACACTGTATTTTAAAATGTGGGTCTGCCATATTTTTAGAAGTATTTCTCTCCAAACATTTATACTTTCAACTTTGTCTGCCTTTTCCCATCTCATGTTTATTTCTTCTACTCTTAAGCTAGCAGCAGTCATATATTTAACTACCTTTGTAACAAACCAGTATCCTTAATTATGACCATTATATATATTCAGCGTATATTATTCCTGCTAAAATTCTCTGTTGCTCACTGTATTAATCTATTAGCCTTGATTCTGTGATTTCCATTCAAAAATATGTTAATTTACTCTTTGCTTGTGACATCACGGTCTGTTTGAGGATAAATTAAATATGACAAATACGACTCTGCCTTTTCTGTAGCATTTTAATGAGAAGGAAGAAATAGTTCTAAACCACAATGATTCATTTTCATATTACTAAAATCCACTCAGTATTCAAAAGTCCTAAGTAATTATAAGAAAACTTGAGTTTAATTCTGTTAAAATGTATATTTGTGAATTTGGGGTTGCAGTTATGCTCAAGAAAAAATAGTTTGTGGATGGAAGGGGTTATTTTGTGAAGGAACTATTTTTAAATGAAATGTTTTTCATTGCCTTTATACTATTTTTTTGAACAAATATGACAGTTTTGTCCAGAATAATCTTCTTTGTTTCAGTCTCTTTACCACACATAGCAATATCTGTTCCATTCTTCTGAATATATGGTAACATCTCTCTTACCTCAATTTAATAGTAAAGTGTTTCCTGCTGTACTTCCAGTTTTTCAAAAGTATACAGCTTTTACACTTTGACAATGGTGAATGTTTCCACAACATTATATCCACCTCCTAATCTTAAATTAAAAGGTAATCATGAGTGTAGTTACATAGTGTTGTAAAAAGTCAGCTTTGCTTCCATAAAGCTCACCGTAGGAAGACTGAGGACAAGCTGGGTACAGAACTGTCACAATGGCAGAGTATGCTGGTGTACTTTAATAGGCTTTTTGATTACCTAGGATATCCTTTGAGTGTTGTGCAGAATATTGATATGTTTTTAGTGGTTTTGCATTATGCTCCAAAACTTCCTTTTATGCTGCACAAACCACTAATCAATACTCATTCCAAGAAATTTAAATGGGTTAAATTCTGGACATTAAAATTCTAAGGAGCACTGATAATTTCACATTTGGCACTTTGAGATATTTCAAAGAAGATTATCACCATGAAGCTATTTTTCCCAAAAGGAAATAGCTGTCACACAGAAGAGTAGCTGTGTGTGAAACCTCTATGTCCTTACAAAATGCTTAGTGCAAGAAACTCCAACTTCCCGTCTATTACACTTACAGTTTTCAACTCTGACCTAAAAGACAGACCTTAGAGAGTCTGTCCTTCGAGAGTCTAACTTTAGAGAGTTTCTTCTAGCACTTCTGCTTAGACTGTGAGCAAGGAAAAAAATACTGTCGAGTCTTTTTTTTGCTTTACTTGGACTATTCTCTAGAAACAGAACTGAAAACACTGGATCATACCACATCATCTTCTGGATGGACAGTCCAGCGCATTTCAGTCAAATATGAATCAGAGCTAAGCTGCTGACTGGTGAATAGCTTTTTATAGGTTTATCAAACCCCTGCCTTCCTTTAGCTGTCCTGATTTAGTAATTTGTTTTTAATGATCAGTTTTCAGTGTTTAGAAATACTTCAATGCCATTTGGAGATAGCAGTCAGCTGTTTTTTATAGTGACAGGTAAAAGTAACAGGTATGACAACTCAAGCTTGATTAGAAATATTTACTCAGGTATATAAATTTCTCATAATAACTCAACTAATTAATTACATTTTGTTTTAGGTATTCACTGGGATATTCACAGCAGAAATGGTACTAAAGATAATCGCCATGGACCCTTATTACTATTTCCAAGAAGGCTGGAATATTTTTGATGGTATTATCGTTAGCCTTAGTTTAATGGAGCTTGGTCTTGCAAATGTTGAAGGATTATCTGTTCTTCGGTCATTCAGATTGGTAAATACCTTGACAATTAAATATCTGAATGCAATTGTCTCAGGGGAAAAAAAAAAAAAAAAGTGATGATTTCTGTAAAAATTGCCAGTATTGTGAAGATATATACTTATATGGCTCACACTATTTTTAATATATACCTAATTTGCAAGCCATTTTTGGTAAGGACAACTTAAAGGTGTTTGTCAATTGATGTCCTTTGATATGTTTTGGTATCAAATTATCCTATTGATATCCTATCCTACTGATACCTTTTGCCAGCACAAGACTAAATGCCACCTTTTTGAGAATTTTTTAAATCTTCGTTATACTGATTTCATCAAGATCCATCCAAGCTGACTATCTCTGAAAATATACATATTGCCACCAGCATAAAGAATCGTAACATATTTAGTCTTTTTATTGTGAGCATTACTGTATGTCACTCATAAAGCCCCCAAGCAGATCTTCTCTTCACAACATTTATCTTAATGGGCACCAAGAATAAACATTTAGTAAGTTCACTGCATATAACAGAGCCAATCTGAAAAAAGTCAGATTGACTTAAGCATAAAGCTTAAATTGAAATATTGAGCTTCTACTAGAAATGCCTTTTTTATAGCAATTAGCATCATACAGAAGCTAATTTATAGGTGTGTTTACTAGAGGCACAACATTAATGATTTAGAAGTCTGTATTACTAATAGTTATCACATTACTTGAAAAACTAGGTTAATTCTTAACATAGAGAATAGGAAGTCATGACTTAGTTTGTGACTTAGTTTATTAGGACCAATTGCAATGGTACCCAACTTAACATACCACATTTTGGTTACTGAATATTATTTTTAAGTTAGTGTTTATGATTTGAATGGGCATCACAATATCAGCACCAAATTGTTGCTTAAAAAAATTGTTCTCTAAGCCTGGAAGACTTAATGTGGCACCGAGGGAAACATGGAACCAAGCCAGAAAAGAGGGTGTAGTGAAGGTGATGAAAAGAGTAAAAACTTCTGAAATGTCCTTAGGAATTGTTCAGTAATCATCTGTAAGTGGATCTTTAAGAATATTAAAATCAAATGTGGTACAAAACAAATTACTTTTTTTTTTTTTTCTATGTGCATCACTAAGATGAAATGCTGAACACTGCAGTTTAGGCAAATAATCCATGTTCCCTCCTTTCTATTAAAATAATAACATGTTCCTACTGAAGAACAAATTAGTCTACAGAAACTGATATGCTTTTTTAAACTACTTGGACCTAGCTTCTGTTGCATAGCTAACACTATTTATTCCTCTGCATTTTTGTTTTTCAGTTGCGGGTTTTCAAACTGGCAAAGTCTTGGCCAACTCTAAATATGCTGATTAAGATTATTGGCAACTCAGTGGGGGCTCTGGGGAATCTGACCCTGGTGCTGGCCATCATTGTGTTCATTTTCGCTGTGGTTGGGATGCAGCTGTTTGGGAAAAGCTACAAGGAATGTGTCTGCAAGATCTCCAGTGACTGTGAACTTCCACGCTGGCACATGCATGTTGTATTCCGAGTGCTGTGTGGAGAATGGATAGAAACGATGTGGGACTGCATGGAGGTTGCAGGCCAAACCATGTGCCTTATTGTTTTCATGCTGGTCATGGTGATTGGAAACCTTGTGGTACGTGATGAATGTTTTTGAGCATTCAATCTGATGCAAGATTGCACATAAGTTACAGCTAGGGAATGAGAATGTCATGATTCTGTTTACAATTAAAAAATAAATCTGAACGTGCTAGATTTTGGATAAAAACACAGAATGATAGTGTTTTCCCTCTTTTCACTCATATTCATATACTGGAGTACTCTCAGTATGGGTTCAAAATGCCAAATCAAACACCCTATCATAAAATAGCTGCAGCTATTTTAGAGGTGCTGTTTGAATCCAAATGTCTTCCTTACTACTCTTGAAATAATAAAGTTTATGCTGCATCAGCATTTGGGCAGCTGCATCTTCAGAGAAAAAAAATCTAGCTTTCTTACACCCATTACAGCTGATTCCAGCACTTCTAAAGTATAATGTAGCTGCTCTTAATGCAGAATATCTTAAATGTAAGTATTGAACTTTTTGGCCTGTTTAGGTATAAAACCCAAAAATAAAATACAGCTTCTAACTCAAAATTATAGAAGAAACCTTTCTAGAAAAATTTTAATTCAAGCCAACAAGTTAAAATGCCAAAGGTTCAATTAGTAAATATTGAACTAGTGAGAACTTGCTAGAAATGAGGATTATAACTGGAATGCACCATTTTCAATTTTACTTTAAAGTGTTGTTTACTGTTAATCCTTGCAGTTAATTCTGATATGCCTAAAAACTATATTTCATTAACTGTCAAAATTATTTTCCTTTAGTGATATATTTTAACACAGTTTAATTTTTTATAAAATAGAATTCAAAATGTTCTTATCCTAGTTGTCTACATGACCTTGCAATCTTGACATTATATCAGCAAAAATGTGCAGAGCCCCAGATAGTTATTTATGATCAGTAACCTGCTCTACTACTTTTTTAGAATCATAGAATCATTTAAATTGGAAAAGACCTTTAAAATCATTAAGCCCAACTGTTAACCTGGCACTGCTAAGTCCACCACTTCTTACGTGTATGTATTTACTCTACAGCTGTATTTTCTCATCTTTTAGGTATTGAACCTATTTCTGGCCTTGCTGCTGAGCTCATTTAGTTCAGACAACCTTGCTGCTACCGATGATGATAATGAAATGAACAATCTCCAGATTGCTGTGGCAAGGATTCAGAAGGGAATAGATTATGTTAAAAAAAAGATACAGGAGTTCATCCAAAAAGCCTTCATTAGAAAGCAGAAAGCTTTAGAGGAGATCAAAGCACTTGAAGAGTTAAACAACAAGAAAGGCAGCTGCATTTCCAATCATACTGCTGTTGAAATAAGCAAAGATATGAATTATCTTAAAGATGGGAATGGAACCACCAGTGGTGTAGGAACAGGCAGCAGTGTGGAAAAATGTGTAATCGATGAAAATGATTACATGTCATTCATAAACAACCCAGGTCTCACTGTGACAGTGCCCATTGCAGCTGGAGAATCAGATTTTGAAAATTTAAATACAGAAGAATTTAGCAGTGAATCTGATATGGAAGAAAGCAAACAGGTAGGATTTTTTGGATCTTAACAATTACATTGTTATGCATTTATGTATTTAGAATTGTTTAAAAACTGTCTTATCCCATGTAAATACATTTTATATTTTAGCATTTTATGTGATGATAATTGTAAAAAATATTACCCTGCGTGATGGTATACTAGTGGATCCTTAGAGTTTACATTTTTAATACTCTGTTAGCATTTGGCAGATGTATAACTTTAAATATGATTGTTCCTTTAACAATTTTATGAGGTTTTAGGACTAGCACACTTTTCATAAAGCATTCTTTCTGTAGTACCTATAATGCGATCAGGATTTATAGAATCAAACTATTGTAGAAGGCTAAAGAAAAATTAAATTTATACAGCTTTGCATATTCAATGAGATGTAAGTGGAGAAAAAAAATATATTTAGAGTAGTTCTAAAACTGAACCCTGAGACATCATAAATCAGTGATGTATTCTGGATTATCTAAAAAGTTTTGTGAGTAATATTCTTACAGATTTTGGGTTCATAGACTATGGCTGGCTGAATTGAAGTAATCCAGATACCAACCAATGTCATGGTAAAGCAGTATCTCAAAATATCCTTGAGTGCAGAATGATCTTGTAATATAGATGCATCTGGAAACAGTTTACGGGAAAGCCTTATGCTATTATTATTGTGCAAAGAGACTAAAAAACCCCAGAAGCCATGTGCCTCAAAATATAAGGGGCTCAAATACCAGAAGTGATCATGAACAGGTTGTAATGGTATTTAAGGAAAACTCTGTCTGTTGGAATAATGATCAATGACAAGCTAATAAATGCATTAGATTTAGCTAATTTAGCATTTAGCTAATAAATGCATATAGCAGAATACAATCATATTCAATGCCATTAGAAATGTAGGAACCGTGAGCTTTAAGGGATAAAGACCATTGGTAAATGTTTTCAATTAGATGAGAAGCTATGATGTTATGTGATTAACTCGTTAATACAAAAGGGTTTGTCTACCATCAAGAAAGCTCTTCTACAAAGAAGCCCTGTGTTCATGACTATCATAGCTGTAGAGCTGCCGTATTTGGAAATAATGCTGTTATCCTCAGCAACAGCAAGCTACATCACATAACATTAATGGATAACCATGATCCAATTAATCATAGTACATTTGTTGTTTTTTGGGGTTTTTTTTCTAAAGAACATGAAGAAATATATAAAGTGTGTGTCTACTTGCAACTGCAAACAAGGTTATTCTGCCTAACAACCATAAGATTAAGAGCAAGATATTCTATCATCAGACTGAGTTGCTCAGTTATAAGACAAATATTTTTAATGCAGATGTATAAGATAGTATAGCAGTAGTGCTTTTCCATGACAATTTAAGAATATAAGAGATACAGGAAGTGTAAAGTGATATAATTTATGTGATCAACTAGTAAAAAAAAAAAAAAGTTTTCAGAATGACTCTGGGTCTGAAAATCAAGTATTTTTCACATAAACTGTTGTAATAAAAGTTGCCTTTTCCATTAGCAAAAGATTCAGCAAAGACTTCTAAGTATTTTCATGTATTCTGATGTTCTTTAACATGACATTTTACTAACTTTTTTCTGCTTTCCTTCTGGGTATTTTCAATAAATACAGTGATGAGTGCCTTCCAAGTAACTCCACCTTATGAAGTTACATGCCTAAATGTTTCCTGAATATGTGCTTTAAAAATGTTTGTAATATGCATCAGAAAGTTGGTATGTTTATAAGCTATGCAGATGCTAAATGTGCAGTTATGTGACATGTTAGCCTCGGCAGCAGAGCTGGCTTAGGAAGTTCCGATCCACACTTGGCTCCTGTTCCCCTGGTAGTCTTTAGCACTTTCACTGCTACAGTGTTCGTGGGTCTGTTTTATCAGGCATGTCACTGGAGTGGTGTAAGTTAAATAACCATCCCGTAGGTGCATTTGTTTATTTCTTCTTTAAAAGAGATTGAATGATTCAGTTTACAGCATATTGCCATATATTCTATCAGAACAGCTGAAGACAAAACAAAACGCAGTGCAAAGGCAGAAACTCCTCTGTTTTTTAAGTGAATATATAATGTAAATACACTCTAAGAAAATGGAGTAAAAGCCCTCACTGTTCTGAGAAGTTCTAAATTATACCAGTCTCAAGGTGATTTCACAAGTGAATTTCTCTGTTCATTCCCATCTTTGCTTGGTTCAGGCATCACGCTTTTTCTTCTAAGGCCATCTTGAAGTTTCAGGACCATAATAAATCAAGAGGGATTTTGCCTTGTTTTACAGACTTTACATATATCTGTATGTCTTCAGGAAGAGAAACCAAGTCCAAAAGTCTCTATAAAGAATTTGAAGGTGAAAATTTCAGGTGACTGTGGGAAATCTCCCAGTAAATGATGGATGGTGTTTATCTTAAGAACTTGTGCAGAAATTTTCAATGGGTATAGGATAAATTTAGGATTTCCGTGGAGCCTCAAGGTTTCTGTAGAATGTAATAATCACTACCATTGAGAAGCAGGAGCAACAGTGCTTCCCTCAAGTTCTGCTCACACACAGCTATTTAGCATTTAACTGTTTAACAGCTATTTGTACAGTAAAAGTGTGAATGTTGTGAATGGTATATAATAAGACAGGAATTTATTACCAGTATCCTGTAAATTGTTAATTCTGTATTACTTGCAGTTTCTGTTCTGGTTTCCTTATTCCATTCCTTCTGGATGATTTTTAGGGGAAGTATTGTATGCTCTTTCTTTTAATTGTGTGTATAAAAATCCACTTTGATAATATATGAACAAATGTTCTGGTGTGTGACAGGAATTTGTGAAGATTCCCAATTTTCTCCTACCAAGTCAACAGTACTGTTGAATCTTTTGCTGCCTCCTGATTGTCTCTGGAGAAGTATATTGGTGCAGTGTTTAAGTTACCTCTCTAGAACAGCATACTATCATTTACTTTATTTTGCCTCTCAAGGGGTACCACTGAGACAACATTCCT